TATCTTACTATCTTGGCAAAATACTTAAGTATGAAATAAAATCATTCATATTTCAACAACCATAAAAAGCACATTCTCGAAATATTTTGAATCATATAACATAAATCATTCTTCGAGACAATAATAAAACACAATCTTAATTAATATATTTTTGTAATTATTAAGGTCAATATTATCTATAAATTATGTATTTTTTTTTTAACGAAATTTTCCAGCAGTACTCTGTAATTAATTGTAAATTAATTGAATAAAAATGATGGTAATACAATGTACGAAAATGAATTTTTATAACTTGTATTTCTTGAAATTTCGAGTGTATAAAAATTTTATCAACTAATGTGTACAAAACTTGTTGTTTATAATATCTTATATTATATGAAATATGTTGTATAATGATTCCGCGATAAAGGAAGCTTTAATAAATCCTATTATTTCAAGACATATTAGTTGAATAAAATTAATTTAGCAATAAAAACTTTATTCTAATAAGACATGTTGAATTGATAGATAATTTCAACAAATTATATGAATGTAATTCTAAAGAAATAAAATATTGTATTTAATTTGTTAATTTTTATTCACTTCATTCGTTTGATAGATATTTATTACATAATTTTTACAATGTATAAATTATATAAAAGCTTTGATAAAGAATAATTACATTATATACTCTTTATAACAGAATAATATAAAGAGAATAATGTTTTATGTTTCTAATTAAATACATAAATTCTGAGAAAAACAAATCCTACTTAATATCGGCTTTATAAAAATAATATAAAATTAATATCTTCGATACTTGTTAGATACGTTGAATATCTATATATTAAATTATTAAAATAAAATATTTTATCCTCAACTATTGCTAATCGTAAAGTAATTATTAATATTTATAATTAATATTTAATTATTAATATATATATATATATATATATATATATTATATAAATATTCTATAAGATCATTGTTTAGTATATTGTCTTTTTAACAAAATTATTAAATTTATTTGAAAAGAAATAATCAAAATTTTAAATGAAAAAAAAATATAAACAAGTTATTCATTTGCTGCAAAAATCGAATTGAAATACAAATGTATTTAAAAAAAAATTGAAAAATACGAAATTTATAATCAGATTCCAGCTCCATTTAAAGATATAATAGTTATATCAAATACATCCTTAATCATTTCAAATAATGAGTATCTTTTAAATATCTGTTTTCATACTGCTTCGGCCATATTATTCTGAATTATTTTATCAAATAATAATTCCAAATGTATTTGCTATGTTATAAAATTATTTATAATTTGAGTAAAACATATTTAGGACACAAGCAACACGATCGAATACAAATTTATTGAGTACATTCCTTTCAATTGCCTTGCTATGCACACTGCACATGGTAATAATTAATAAAGTGTTATAATTTATTTATTTAAAAACTTAAATTTACGTTAATTTCCAGACGAATCAATATAATCATTATATAGGGTCCCGTGACGATTTAGTACAATTGAATTTTCGTAAACTAATTTTAAGAAAAAATTGTAATTTAATGGCTCGAGCGATGCGAAAGAAAAGTCTGCTCATCATAAAGATGACACGATAATATACACACGTACTAAAGAAACATAATAAACCAACGTACACATCCACTTAATTAAAATATAAATTTATTAATGACAAAGTTGCGTGTGCTTCGCGTGATTTTTCTCATCTCTTAACTCCGGTGCTCAAAGGAAATTTAATTCTCTATAAAACCCGAAAGAACGATTAAGAATACTAGTAAGCGCTTACGTATTTATAAGGAAGGAATAAGGCGACATACTAAAAGTGTGACAAAATATTCTGGAACAAATTACGAATATAATGTCCTATTAAGCGATGTAAATGTTATTATAATTCGTTAACCACAGCTGGACAAAACAGCTATTTAAACATTAGAAAGCCATGTACGCGATCGATACGTTTCCATTAAGAATATGATATACTTTGCATAGGTATTCGTTCGGAAAATTCGGAAAATGCAAATAGTCGTTACCGTAAGAGAGTCAAAAAATTAATAGACGTTACAAGACCTCGGACAAAGTCGACCAACAAGGACAGAAGCATGGGATCGGTGAGGCGGATAATAGCAAATGAAGAGTCCTTTGATCGTGAGAACGCTTCTCGTGGGCAGAATATAAAGGGGCGGAGGCCGTGATTTCGGCGTGAATATTCGCTAAGCGAGTACTGGACGGGATGGAAATGGAAAAGGCAGCAGCTCCCGGCTAAAATTTCCCAAGCGCGCCGACAATTAAAGCCACGAGGAAGGAAAAAAAAAGTAGACAAAAGCGGGAACTGGCGGTGGGACGTGCGTGCGCTCGGACTCAATCGGCGCTCGACTCGAGGGAAGCCGCCGACGACGTCCCCGGCGTTCCTTATAAAAGCCGAGGGTAGGCCACGTGCAAACTCAGTGTGCTCACTGCTCAACCAGCATGGACGGCACAGGTAAACTGAAAGTGAGTAGTAAATACCAGCGTCGCCAACCTACCACTATCACAATCTCTCTCTCTCTCTCTCTCTCTCTCTCTCTCTCTCTCTCTCTCTCTCTCACTCTCACTCTCAATCCCTCTCTCGCTCTATCTACCTATCCATCCATATATCTATCGAGCGATCGATCCCTCGTCCCATCCTCACTGTCACGGAACTCTATCCTCTTTTTACGTAAAGAAATGCAGCTTAGACGCTTCTCGTGCACGATAAATCAATCGATTATTCTTCTGGGAAAATGTAAGAGACTCTTGGGAAGGGACGATAGAGTATTCGTTGTATGAAGTTGCTGGGCATTTCGGAATTGCATTAGTGGAGAGGCTCTCCGAGAGAGTCGATTAAGCGCCTTGTGAAATTATTCTTTCAATTTATTACTTATTGTTTCTCGTAACTTTATTATCTTTTTTTCAATCTTATTCAATCTTATTTAGTATTCACACTTTAACCAGCAATTTTTATAATCATTTGCTACTTCTACAGTCATGAGAACCGACCGACCCAACTCTACGAATGCTTTATAAATTCCTTTGTTTATCAATATTTTATTATTGCAATATCGCTCCACGTGACACTCGTATCGCAATAAAATACAGATAAAAATAAGAAATTCATAATTTTTAATATGCCGCGGTACTTTAAAGTAATTTATTCTTATAATACTAGTCGGTCTGTAAATTTTCCTATAAACTCGTAATTAATTTTACTTATACGTACATATACTTATACATCCCTGAAAAATTAATATAATCGTGAATAACTTCATGTGGCAATTATAATAAAAATAATTGATAAATCTTTATCCACATACATTCTTATATCTTTGCATTATTCAAATTATGAAAAATGTAATTACTATATTACTACATATATATTAATATTATTATTATTATTATTATTATTATTATTATTATTATTATTATTGTTGTTGTTGTTGTTGTTTTTTCCGCATACATATATATATATATATATATATATATATATATATATATTATTGTTTTTCTTTAAACTTTATTGAATTACAATTTATATGAATTACACAAATAATATAAACGAATTGAAAACCCTAAAATATCAAACTTTAAAATTAATAAATTTCTTTCCCATAAATTACAATAATTAGTTAAGCATAAAATTAATAATCAATTAATTAATTAATTAATTTAATTAATAATTAATATTAAAACGTTTAAAATAATTTATTTTAATAATTTATACAATTCAATAATAACAAAAATGTACTAAAATCAGCATTTGAGAAATTAAAACCAATAAATCATGAGCACTTTAATATTTACTGCATTGTTTATTATTTACTTGAATAATATAGGTATCGTTGACATATTATGTATATTTTACAGCTAAAAATTTAATGTTGCTTGCATCTGATAAAATACTTGATGAGTGAAATGCTATCCAATATATTATTGATTAATAATAATAATGTGGCATATTAAAACAGTTTAATTCTTAAAAAAATATATATAAACTAATATAATATCGACCTATATCATCAACCTATGATAATAAAATAATTTTTGTATTACGCTTTAAATACATGGCATCATAAAATTTTATATTTTTCAATTAAAATAAGTAAAAATTATCTAACTTCTATCATTCTTAATTCTGTTGTTTAAATTGAATTAAGTAGTAAGTTTTTTTAGCAAATATATGTACAAAATATATATATACTACTAATAAAAGTTTACAAAATTTTAAAAAGTACTTCTTTTAATCTCCTTTTTTACTTGAAATTATGTGCAGAACTTTTACATAATAAATTAAGATACATTCATTTTTACTAATGTGATAATTATTATTTCAAATAATTATTTGAATACTGAATTATTGGAAGAAAAAAATTGAGGATAATTATGCAAATAAAACGAATTATAAAAAGAAAAAAGATGGCTAAATAAATTTTTTCTCGACAATCATTTTAATAATTGTTACATTGTAGTCCTTGGATGGTTAAAAGCTTAAAAGTTTTGCAATCGAGCACTTGTATAATACTAAAATTTAACAACTATTTATGTTTAGCTATAAATATATTTTTATGACCAAAAACTAAAATGCTTCTTTCATCATACGTTCTAATAAGCCTTTATTTAAAAAATATAAATAATACTACAAAAGTTTTATTACAAATATTCTAAATAACGAATAATATTATTGCTTAGGATTGCTTCTAAATATATATATATATATATATATATATATATATGTATTTAGAATATTTATATATATATATATATATATAAATGTAATGTAAATTGCAGTTTTACGATGCAAGTAAACTTTAAGCTTTTAATCATACTTAATTTCCCCTACGAAATTATCCACCTCAATAATTGATGACATTAAATGATATTGTCCAAACTTTCATAAAGATAATTATCGCACGTATGAATGTTGTCTTGTAATTTTAATTTAGGTGTTAATATTGTAACACCTAAAGCAAGTTAAATATTTCATTTAGCCAAAGACAATCAAACAAATCGCACGTTACAGGCTTTCGTGATCATCGGGCTTCTGGCTCTTGCGCAAGCCGAGGAGGCTGCGAAAAATGCGGTACCCATAGCTTCGGAGACGTCGATAAATGAAAAGAAGTCCGAGGAGAAGTCGAAGCGCGGCCTGGAGCTGAGCCTCGGCGACCACTTTGGCTTCGGGGATCTCGGCGGCGCTGGTCTCGGCGACCTGGGTAGCAGTATCAGCGAGCACGAGCACGTCTCCCACGGGCACATCAAAGCTGTCACCATCACCAAGCACGTACCCGTGCTCCAGCCCTACCCAGTACACGTCGAGAAGCACGTGCCGTACCCGGTGAAGGTGCCCGTCAAGGTCCCCGTTGACCGGCCTTACCCCGTTCACGTACCTCAGCCGTACCCCGTCATCCATGAGAAGCACGTGCCCTATCCCGTGGAGAAGCCTGTCCCGTACCCAGTCAAAGTGCCCGTTAAGGTAAGCAAATGGTATTTCTCGGTCGCAAGGGCTCTCCTTGCGAACTGTTTGGATTCAAATTCTAGATTTGATCTAATGGCTTAACTGCGCCGGGAAATTACAGCCGCATTATTGTATCCAATGACAATTATATTTTTCGAAATTCTACTTACGCGTTAAATTCGATTTTCAGACTGCGAAACCAATACCATAAAGTGCAATAATCGATATGAAAATGTTATTCCTTGGGCGTCATTAATCATAAAAACTTTATGTTTATTTCCATTATTATCATTGCTGTAATTATAGTTGACTAAATGTCAAATTGACGTATTCGTTTATTAGGTGCCGGTGAAGGTGCCGTATGAAGTGAAAATACCCATCAAGGTCCCCGTGGAAGTCCATAAGCCAGTACCTTATCCAGTTAAAGTACCTGTTGTCGTTAAGGAACCATATCCAGTTTATATTAAAGAACATCATCATCATGAACACGAAGGATTCGGTGATTTTGGACATGGATTTAGTTATTACTAATTTTTCAAATACTAATTTAAATTATGACGATCTCACGACTGATATCTTATTTTGTAAATTTTTTTTT